AAAGCATTTTATGATTATATATTGTAAAACAATGATATTTTTTTATCTATAGGTTGATTGACAAACGACTAAATTTGTTGTTAGCAATATTTAATTTATTTGTTGGTATTATTTTAAAACTGAGACTAAAGCACATCAGATGTCTTTCTTGATTTTTAAAATCTTTGCTGTCATTTTAATAAACTTTTAGTTATATTAATTTAAATTGTTTTTTCAGCTATTAATTCATTATTATTTAACAATTTTCAATGTTTAATAAACATAGGTTATAAATTATCTTATAGAATCACATGTTTTCAAAACATGGAATTAAAATAATGACTTTGAAATGTAATATATTTAATTCACATAGCATACATACTGCACAATTGAAATGCGATTGAGTGGAAACTTTCGTATTGTTTGATAGAGTAATTTAATTAATCTCATTAACACATCTGTTAAGTTATCAAGTGAAAGATGGAATTCTCGTGTAATAAAATATTTTTGTTTTCAACAATGAATCAAGATGAATATGAGAGTTTAATCCAAGAATTTCATGAATCTATAACAAATCGAGTTACATGTCATAAAATCCTTTCCAGCATGTTGTTAGAACCTTTGGGAATCTGTGAGAAGTAACAATACCAACGGGAGTATGTATAAATTAACACAATGCTCGTGATAACAAAGCACAATTTGCTTGGTCTCCAATAATCGTATAGTGTTCGTTGAAAGTTAGATTTACAAACTTGGCGACAAATCAACTCTGCTTACTATATACCAATTTTGAAGTTAAATTATGTTGGAATTCTCGTTGCATCATTTTTTTTTAACGATAATCGACATAAGTGCGAGAAACATTTTTGGTAAAAAATGAGTGTTTTAAAATTATTACTCAAGGATAACATTTTTTTGTCGACTTTGTAATATTTTTGAAAGATGCCTGATATGAAGGAGGAGAAGAGAAGGATAAAAAAGATTTACAAAATTTTAGAATATTAAAATTGTCGTAGGGGAAGGGAAAGTAAAGTGGAACGGAGGGGCAAAGTGAAATGTTTGAGAAAATGTACCAATTTATTAAAATAAGTTTAAAAATACCTATTGCACTTTTCCTTTATCAATTTTTTCATTTATTAATGCATTAAAAATTATTAACATTTGTTGATGTAATGATTAATACGTTTTTTCTTGGTGTTCCACTTTACCCCCACCTTCCTCTATTTTCTTTTTTCGAAAATCACAAAAGCTAAATATGGTTTTCTTGACTAAAATTATTTGTTAGAATCATTTTCTAATTACTCATAAAATTTGAACATCAAAATTGGAAATTCGAGTATGGAAAATTGACTTTTTTTAATATAACTTCGTGAAGACAAACTAAAGTGTAAATCAATAGCATGAAATTGATATGTACCCAACTAGAAAAAAAACTTTTTCATTCCTATATGATGTTTTTTTTGAAGTTTACAATTGGTTTTTCAAAAATTCATCAAAAAGTTATTGATATATCTCCTATAGGGATTAATATTTAGATAAATACAATAAAGTCTGGGATGTCTAAAAAATTTGTTGGCTTTCTTTTGAACATTATTTGAACAAAATTTTACACAAAAATTAACATCTTTTTGGGTGTCTACAAGACGACTTTAAAAATATCAACTAGTATTTGAATATTTTGTTATCTAAATCCAAAAGATGTCTTTTTGAGAGCTTTTTTATAGTTAGGTAGTAAAATAAATTTGGAAAATTGGTAGCAATAAGATTTCTTGGGTGTCATTTCCAATTTTATTATTTAAATATAACTATACTTATTCAATAAATAAAAAAAAAATTAAATAAATTCAAATTATGATGAAAAACGATTTATTCTATCTATTACTCATTAAAATGCCAATTGAAAATCAATAAATCAAGTAAAAAAGCTGCTTTTTATTTATGTTTTTATCAGAACTAAGCTGAAAAATAATAAATAACAAAATAATCTCCAGCTTATGTATTTATTCTTATAGAATACCTGTAATGCTTACAAGTATATATATTGGGTATACTCAATACCTATAGGTTTTATCGATTTAAAGTACTCTTGAATAGCTTACAGAAAGTGATAACAAAATAGACATGACTGTATCCTCAAACACTTTTTACTGTCTGATCAAAAAAGGATGAATTTTTTACATAACCCGTACCTTCTTACGATCATTATTAGATGACTCGTATAGGAGTTAGAGAGGTCCAAAGTCGAAGTAAGGGTCAAAAAATCTTCTACCCTTCGACTTTGGATCTTCATAACTCGTAGAAAAGTTATCAGACGATGATTTTTAAGAGGTGTTTGGAAACTTCAGAATTTAAGCTGAAGATATATATCCATAAAAAACCTTTAAAAAATTTATTTCACCCTCAAAATTGCCCAAATACTTGGCAAACTCCCAAAAAATGTGACTTTTTTTATATTTTAGCGATTTTGAGGCTGAAATAAATTTTTTGAACAGTTTTTATGAATATATATATTTAGCTCAGATTCTAAAGTTTTAAAAACGTCCATAAAAAATGTAATCGGACTGTCCGTTCATGAGTTATAGGGATTTAAAGTCAAGGGGATGATGATTTTTAATGTGTACCTAGTTTTACTCGTTTTAAAAGGTGTTAGAGTGAATCTTTTTGGGCTGTGCCTTGATTCCGCATTTCTACGCATCAAGACAAAGAGAATGAGCCCTCGATCATCAAAATCGGAGTACTTTTATTTTTTGGCCAAAAAAATGGAAAGGGGTACCACTTGCCATTTTTTGGGGTTGAAAAATAAAAGTTGTCCGATTTTCAAATTTGACCACTCATTCTCTTCGTCTCAATGCCTAGAAATGCGGAATCAGGTCAAACATATGAAAAATCAATTATTTCACTTTTAAAATGGGGTAAAACGGAAACTTGCTTTAATTTTCAAAAAAAACAAAAAAAAAATTTTGTTCCCCAAACATTCCCTATAGTCTCACGAGGGGAACTTTCCCACTGGGGAACATTCAGGGAACCTTTCGAAAACGAAATTTTTTTATACGGAAAGTAGAGTGATAATGTATAGATTATAGATCTCGGTATACCAAATATTAAAATCAAGTTTCTTCACAAAATGTGTGTTCTTAAAAAGTTTTTCATTTTATCAATTGGCATTAGCTTTTGCATTTGGAATTTTTAACTGTAAAACATTCAACAGTCGTATTATTTTTACTACATTGTAAATCTCAATTTTCCAAAATGCATTATTTTAATGCAGATAAGTGTGTTAAATATGACGTCACCCATTTGATTAACATTGTAGTCACTTTTAACGCATTTCCAAGTGTGTAACAAGTAACTATAGCCACTAGATATTGTTAATCTTTGTCAAAACTCCAATGATTCTCAATATTCAACTTAGATTAATAATTTTGTAAACCAACAGGGTGAAAATGTGCCCAGCATCGTATCCCATGTTAATATACAAAATGATTTTTTTCCCCAAACCAAAACAGTCTTAGCATCCATCATTTCCAACAACCAATTAGCACTTGGATAACATGATGACAGATATGATATTTTTTGTCTCACCAATTTTTCAAGAAAGAATTAAATACTTAGCTCCGCCTGGTGTATCAAAGTTCATTAATATACTAACATTTCAAAATATAGTTTTTAGCACAATTTAAATGATTGAGCATCCAAAAGATATCTTAGCCCAAAAAAAAGTAATTATAAGTAATATAATGATTACCAGAGAAATGATCTCTCATCAAGTTGGGTCAGTAGTCCGCAAGTAAAAACTGCTCTTCCTAATTCCTTTGACCAAAGCACAGACTGGGAACTCCCTGGGAAACTAAAAAATTCTTAAATGACTACATATCATCAAACAAAAAAGCTGGAAGTTTATAATATGATTTTATTTTTGTATTTCAATGGAAAGAAATATTAATTTCAAAAAAGTCAACTTCAAACGTTAACATATTTTTCTGCAATATAAATTGAATAAAAGAATACGAAGTTTAAACAGAGACATTTTGAATAAGATAAATTCAATAAATTTTAATTGATATAAATCAAAGAGTCATTACTTTAAAGATCGTTTTAAAATGTTGAATAAACATCATGCATGTACTTCATTATTTCAATACTTTAATTTTTTATTCTATTCAAAAATACTGAATATACTGAATATTATCTTTATGTAAATATCAACTAGCACCTGCATCGAGATGATAACGATTTTTAAAGTTTCGAAAGCGATAATGATAACTTGAAACAAAAAATTCCAAATAAATTGAAAAAAACAAAAAAAAATGGAACGACTTCACAGAGTAACAAAAAAATGGAATTTTAAAAGATTGACGTTCATAGTGTATCAACGTGATGAATATCAAAAAGATATTGAAGAACAGCTTCATTAAACAAAAAATGAACTTTTAATTACTTTTAGCCTGTATATACACAACAATTGCGAATACTTTTTTATATTTATATCTATTTTCAGTTCTTTTAATTCTACCCGGTACAAAAAGATTTATGCAATTTTTAGTAATAAATATAAAGCATACTTGTGTTGGAAACGTTTAAAATTTACATGGATATTATTACGCAAACTTCATATGACAATGTGGAGCTTATATAACGTATGTGAATCTTTTACTGGGTGACTTTATAATTTGAAATTGTTGAATAGAGTTTCCATAAGATAAATTTTATTGAATAAAGTACTGTTTGAGAAGAAAGTAGTGACCTCTTACTTTTATGAAGTCATGATATTAAAACTCAAGTTAGTGAATAAACATCTTTAAATATGACTCATGAAATATTTTATCTAATAATTCACGAGATTTTTTTAACGGTCATTTAAAAGACATGAAATTTAATAAGTTCACACTTGCAAAATTCCTTAATCATTTTCCTTTTCATTACGATTGTTTTATTCTGAACATAATTATTTTGAAAGCAATTTTTGATATCTTTTATTTGATACTTATTAATACGTTATGGTATTTGTGTTTGAATTGCAGGGTGAAAACGATGCCGTAATGCTTCTGAGGAGTACGTCGTCCCGACGCAGACGGGCGTCGCGGAGCGTCGCTAGTTCGCCTCAGTCTGGGAGTGTGCCTGGGGCAACCACAAGAGTGCGAAGGGCCTCTGTTGCCACTGACAGGCCAATCTCTTTGTCTCAAAATACCACTAACAGCAACGAAATGGACAGACAACGTTCACCTAGGAGTAGTATTGTTCCTAATATTGCTTTCGATGCTGAAAATGGCCATGATGAGGTAATTTTCACACTATAACACTGTAAATTGAGGTGTATTACAATAAATATCAATACAGGTATTCAATACTAAACCCCTTATTACCCCTCTATAGATGGAAAGAACCTTACCTTGCCGTGCATACCTAGTCGTAGTATGTTGTACAGAACAAATAAAATTTACCCTGAAAGTATAATTTATTCTTCCACTTCGTAGAAATCCCTATCTTGTAATGTAATTCTTACTATCCTGCACAGTAACTTTTACTATTTTTGTAAAGTGTGCTATAATTACGTTGCAAGGTAAGGTAATTTTTACTTAAAGGACAAACATTTATATTTTCCCAAAAAAAATTAAGGAGCAGTCATTATGAGCACATTAAACTTTAAACTTAGGAATTGACATAACCAGAGAAGAGAGACGTGAATAGAAGTTTATTTTAAATGGGCCGATGTGTTCCAAAAATTTATTATGGGTTCTTATGGAGCCAGGTAGGAGTTTAACACGATTGGGGTGGCCTGGAGTGATCTCTAAACAGAACACAGCATTGAACTTCTATGCAGGTCTATTTTCTCTGACATAACACGTAAAATCTCCAAATTACGGAACCAAAGTTTATTCCATATACCTAAAGTGTTATGTTTAATGTTTTATTGTGGACCCTACTTTAAGTAAAAATACTTAGCCATTTAAGGTACTCTGGATGTCGAATTAAATTTACTCCTCAAGATGGTAAAATTTGCCTTACGTTGTAAATTAAAGTGGGTCACAATGTGTTCAATATTAACTACCATAAACAAACTGTAAAAGTCTTGTAGTTGTTTTATCCATACTTCAGGGCGTGTAACAATTTATAGTCAACACGTTTATGTGTTACATAAAAGAAAAGAATTTTCATGAAGTAGAAAAATAAACATTACTTCGTTGTAAGGTAAATTTTATTATCATGCAGGGTAAATTTTATTCCCTGCGTAAATTTTAACTTACTCCAAAAATTTTTCAAAATGACTACAAGACTCTATAGTTTTTGTATAGCAATTTACCATTGAATACTATTTAGATGTGTTGTTTCAACACACTTCAAATTTGAAGTGTAACTTCCTACGATTTAAACAATCACATTGATCTAAACTCTAAGAGATGCTAATGATGGGCATATTTGTTCATGCACGATTCTATTTATTCCATTAATGATTGTTGATATTGCTGTGATAATTCATCAAGCGAGATAGGTTCCAGAGTTTTGGAGATAGAGACCATAGAGAGCTTTGTTCATAGTACTATTCTTAGCTGTTATATTCACCTTTTCATTGTTTGTAACATCCAAGTGTAAAGGTATTCAAGTAGTAACTATTTGTATCAGGTTATTGTAGCTAATGCTGAATTCCAATGTTATTTCCCAAGCAATTGTGTGAATCATGAATAGATAGAAAGAATAAAAAAACTCATTTCGTGATAAAATTGTTATACTACATTTAATTCTTTTTTAATTGGTATTAATTAATTTGTCCATTCATCTCTTATTTTTATTTTAAAAAATTACGAGAAGCTGGTTAAGTGACTGTAAGAGATTATTAGAGACTCTCAGAGACTGATCATTTTATCCTGGATCACTAAATCAAATTGAAATGAAAAATCCTTTCTTCCAGTACTTCAGATACTTCGGTAATACGACCTAATTTTAAGACAGAATTCTTTCAAGACTTTATTAAATCTGTTAATTATCTTGCGAAAGAATTTTAGACTTCATCAATAGTGCAATAGGTATCGGCTTCCATATTTACATGTGAGTTTGACGACAGGATACTCAGGCAGGATCTAAACACAATCTTACAGTAGATTTCATTAAGAAATAGTCATAATTTCAGGATTGTTTAATTTAGAAACAATTTATTGATTGAATTTTCTGTTTATTAAACAATATCAGATGAGTCTCAATTTTTTTTGTATTTTTATTATTTAATAAAGATCACTAGTTAAAAAAGGATTTCATTCATATTTCTCCAATAATCTAAGCTCTGGTTAAATATACATAACATGTATTAACATTCAGCTTCATCTTTAGTTCATCCCTAATATTTCTTCCATCTAGAAAATATTAGACAAGATCGAGGATTTAACGTTCAAATGAATGGATTAATAGATATAGTAAAGACTTATTATTTTCACAATTATTTTAAAAGAAATCTTCTTTTGGTTTATGTAAACAAAATACTTGATAGCCATGGAAAAAAGTAACATTTAATAGAAAACAAAGATCTAAGATACAGCTTTTTTAAAAACAAAGTGTAGAGTACATAGAATAGTTCTTCATTTGTTGACTAAAGTATTGACTATTTCTTTGTGAAGTAAAAATAACTCAGCTTTCGTAGAAAGTTCGATATGTTGAGATATACCAAAGTACATAATATTTATATAGTATAGGTAGTCTGCCTGGGGCTTTGCCAGCTGCAACTCAAGAGCTAATTAACCGATTTTGATCAAACAAAGATCAGAACTTTCTTTCAAGATTATGCTACTAAATGCTGAAGGCCAAATCTAGATTAAATAGATATATAGATTAGAGTTGCGTTTTACACACACACATAATTCTAAGTAGGACACTTCTTGAGTTTTATAAAAAAAATCAATCTCTTAACTCACAATGAGAGTGAACTATTTAATGAATAAAGTATAATGCGTTGAAACACCACTAGTAGTTTTTTTTTATCCCCCTAAAGAACTTAGTTGATAAAGCTGATTATGTGTAGTATTCTAGATTATTTATCATAATTGAAACATTCTTAGGCTGACTAAATAGAAGAAATGAAATAATTTAAACAAGTTTGCTTTTACAAACATCAGTACAGAGTAAATTAAAATAAATAAATTATTATGTTTCTTACAGAATGCTTGTCACATTTCTTCGAATAATAAAAATGATAGAAATTACTCCAAAAAAGCAAAGTTTAGAATGATTTTTACCCATTCATTGCTTAAGTATTTAAATTTGCAATTGCTTTTTACTCTATACTAGTAATTAAAGAAATTAAAGAATACTTTTTATGTTTATTTGTTTATTTTCAATAGCTATAAGAATTTAATAAAATAATCCAAAATATAAGCTATCATATTGAAGGCAAGTGAGACCGAGCAATAGCAATCAATTAAAATGGATAAAAATTTGACATGAAGTTTCTTTGTTCAATCACCGAATGATAATAAAAATAATCTTAGTTGATTCATTGAATTTTTATTAGTTATTAAAACAAATAAAGGTAATTGTCTAGAAAATATCTCCCACCCCCGATCGCTTTGGGGGTGGAGGTAGTGTTAAATAGGGGTGTGTAAAGTAACGTACACTAAAAATTAGGGGATATTTTCTAGACAATTACCCAAAAAAATTTGAACAGTAAAATATAATATTAAAAAGTAAAGTAGACTATAAAAAGGGGATTTATAATTTAAATAATTAATGATATTAAATAAATATTTAATTGACAAAATATTATTTAAAAACAAAAGAGCACTACTAATCTACGTAATTTACAATTAAATAATTTAAGTAGGTTTTTCATGTTCTACCAAGGTTAACAAATGCCCACAGTCTCGTCTTGAATTAATTTTTAATGTTAATCTTTCTCAAATAAATTACAAGATTTAATATGTTTCAAATGTTGAATAATAATTACACATTTTTATAGTTTGCATATAAAAGTTTAAGACACATATTATTTATATTTTATCCAAATGCACATGAATTTTTTATAAATTTTTAACAACATCCAGGGAGCTTTTGGCAGTGTTACATAAATATTTTCATCATATGAAACCTTTTTTCTAAAATAAAAATTTTCAGATTTTTTATTTGTTATTAGTGTGTAAAATATTGTTGTTTACATTCTCAACCTTATTTAAACATCCTATTAAAAACCTTCATTGCTTATGAGCACAATCCTTTACAAGTTTTTTGCTAGAATAAATGAATGCCTACATCATTAGCACAACATTTCCTAACTCTCACCGTTATATAATGATCTCCACAAATTAAGATGAATGAGTCAGTTAATCAAGATTCCGTTTCATCCGTAGATCTATTTTATATAAAATTTAGCCAGTGATATAAATAAAAATTAGTTGTATTAATTAGCAAACTTCACTTAAATCATAGTTCATATATACGACTTCTGCCTTCATCTCATTCTACTCTAAGGATTGCATATATCTGTGTTACTGGAAGTAACTTTATGTACCACTTAATATAGGTGGAAATTACATCCGTTGAAAGCAGGAATTATTTCCATTAAAATTATAACACTGAAAATCTAAAAACACTCAACATGTGGGATGTTAATAAACTTAGGCAGTTTCTGGTTGTCATTTAATTTGATTTATATTATTTGAAAGTAAATTTACAACTGCTAAAATATACTCAGAATAAGTCAAAAGAAATACAAATGAATTAGTAGAACTGGTGGTGAGTTCAACTGGTATGCTTCTAAATGAACTTCGATGCTGATTTTTTTATTCAATAACTTCAGCATGTTTTTATCAACGTTGTAGTTGATATGATTAAACCATTACATGCTATCAATATGATTTATTATTTAACAAATTCAATGATTTATCCGAAACAAATAAAAAATTTCAAATTTATTTTATTCGAAATGTGTAGTAGATGCTAATCTAGTTTTTTTTAATATATTACAGCCAATTAATAGGAGAATCCTGCCAGATCCCGAATATTGTGGATCAAGAGGCCTACTCCCAGATACGAATAGAAGTCCTCGTAATTCTCTAGTTCCTGATGACTATAGCAGGAGTCCTAGAGGATCATTAATTCCAGACTCTGGAAGGAGTCCTAGAAATAGTTTGGTACCTGATGGATCAAGAAGTCCTCGACATTCCTTAGTTCCTGATGGAAGCCACAGTCCACGAAATCCTTACGGTCCTGAAGTTCCTTATAATCGCAGTCCTAGAAATAGTTTAATACCATCATCTGGGCCTACTTCTCGTAACACGTTAATGCCTGAAAATGGAAGTATTAGAACTTCAAGACATTCTTTACTTCCGGAAACAACTAGAAGTCCACGTGGAAGTGTGGCAAATATAGATTTTGATCGAAGTCCAAGAGGTTCCATATGTCCAGAAATTTCTAGATCAGCTAGAGGGAGTATAGCAGTACCAATAGATCAAGACAGAAGTACACGTGGTTCAATTTGTGCTGAAATGATAGCAAGTCGATCTCCAAGAGGAAGTATCACACCGGCTATAGATCCAGATAGAAATCCAAGAGGTTCTATCAGTTCGGAATACCACAATCCTAGTCCAAGAGGGTCTATAATGCCGGAATGTAATAAGTCACCTCGTGGTTCAATTGGCCCTGACTCTAATCGATCGTCTAGAGGATCTATTGGTCCGGAAGGTGGAAGAAGTCCACGAGGATCCATTGCTCCACATGAAGGAAGTAACAGGTCTCCGCGGGGCTCCGTTGGTGTACCTGAGATTGACAGAAATCATCGTGGCTCGATTGGTGAAGATGGCTCTATGAATCGTAGTCCGAGGGGTAGCATTGGTCTGGAGATTGATCGAAGTCCTAGGGGAAGCTTAGGAGGATATGAAAGACGAACTCATCGAGGGAATAACTTGCCATATCAAGAGCCTAGAAGAGCTTCTGCTGATCAAGGTTAGTTTTTGATTGGATTTTAACTAGAAAGCTTTCTTTTTATTTTAATTAAAAATCCTAACGAGTTAATTCCTGCTAAATTTTATTGACATTGATTAAGAATAGAGTTTCTGGGAAGAAAAATTATAAGAATTCATTTTCTTAAAGATGTATCTTTTCTTTAGAAAGAGCATTATTTTAATTTTTAATCCTTTAAGTGAAAAATTGTTTTGATGAATAAAGATAAATGACAGTCAGACTTTCAGGAAAAATAAATATAAAGGAAATTTAAAAAGAATTAAGCTAAGAAAAAACGTTATTGAACAAAATACTCCTTCTTTTGTAATGACGTGACAAATGTAAGGTCTTACGTTTACACTTTGATCCAATTTGTTCCAATTTACCTTCTATTCTATCTCACTTATCTTTCTCCTAACCAAAATCACAATATAGAATGAAGACGACGCTTTGATGACGATTTCATACATTTTCTTACAATTTATCTTATTTATTTGATGATAAAAAATTGAAAGCATGTTTGAAATAAAATCATTATCGTTTTTTTCTCAAACAAAAAATAATAAAACCAATGCAGTATGAAATGCAGTTTAATGCTAGGTTTTGTGCTGATGCAAAAGTTGCATTTTCGATAAAATGAGATTTCTTTTCTATATAAAATAGAAGATAAAATCATTTATGATCATCTAGCAAGATTTGTGATAATATGTACTCTAAGTTGTGGAAAATGAGGTCATAGAGTGAAGTCAATTCTGGTTAAATCGTATCTACTTAGGAACTATATACATATAAATACGTATACCAAGATACTTAAATAAAATGGATGGCAGAAGATAGCAAGTACCAAAGGCTCATATTTTCTAGTATTTTTTTTTCGGAGTAGATAAGATACACGAGTTTCATACCAAAAGGAGCAAACAACTTCAGTTCCTAGACTGCAAACAAATTGTCAAGATCTATTCTCATTTTAAACCTAAGCAAAAAACTGATCAATGAAGATCAAAAGGTTTTAAATTTCTCAGTTAATTTATAAAAAGTTAGCTTTCATATAAAGTGCATCAGTTCGTTAGCACAAATGATGAGAGCAGCTGTCTCTTACTTTACTGGAAATCTTCATTAAAAAAAAAACATTGAACTTAGCAGTTATGTCTATCATTAAAAGAACGCACTATGGAAATTTCAGCCTTCTAGATTCGTACATTGGCTGTCATTTAGTCACAAACATGTGTTATGTATATAGATTAGAGAATTCTAATTGGAATTTATTTCATTAAAATAATTACTTTGGAATCTTTTGATGTCAGTTCTACAATATTTCAACATATTTAAATTGTGATGTTAAATAATTGATAATGAGTCATTTGTAGCAACGTCTGTTGGTCTTTATTAATTACTTATCTAATTAAATGAATTAGAGATCTCAATACCTTTCAATAAAATGTTATGTTATTATTTGTAATTTTGTACATAAACTATTTATTAAATTAAAATCATACTTTGAATAAACAATTGAAGACATGTGATTTATATTGAATTAAACATAAAAATTCCAACTCTGTTGAATTTATTGGAAGCAAAAAAGAATAAAATAGTTGTAGAACCAAGTGAGCTTTTATGAAAGAAAACTATTGCAAAACTTTCTCTAAAAGAAGTGATCAAAGACTAAATACTAAAACGTAGCAACCTTAGTAGAAAGATAGTTTGAACCAGTATTGGGCTAGGAATGGATCAGTTTTGCTTCCTACTGTGGAGTTACTTTTGCATTTACTGTTTCTCTTTTATATACATACATTTACCTAACAGACGAATAGGTTTATTTACTAAGTATCTCTTTCATTGGAAATTGAAATTAGAATTAACTGGCAAATATAGTACAAAAATTTATGCATCAATATGATTTAACAAACATAAAATATTATTTTCTATCACAAGTTGAGTAATAAATGAAAATTAATATTCACTAATTACATTTTTGTTTCCTTGAATCATATCTATCCATCAAAAAAGGAATTCTTCATCAAAGTGAACATCATTTTCTATTTCTGTCTTATACAATTTAATAACTTATCTTTCTACAAATTGAAAAGCCCACATCTTTGATATTTTTCCATGGAATAAATACACACAAATTTAATTTCAACTGAGATCTCATAGTTAATTAGAATATTAATAATAAGATAAAAGCTTTTTCGCAATATAAAGGTATTTATTTTCTTTCAGGTATTTCAACATCTCGTAGTGGATCACCTTATCGTGGTCGTGACACAAACACTGGAAATATAAGATCTAGTGCAGCTCATGGAGCACCAACGAATCTCGGCTATGGAACAAATGCCTGGGTAGATTCTCGACGAGCCAGTAGTTCTGTATCACAGGTAAAATATTTTCATTATATCCAATATAATTTATCTTTTCAAGAAACATTGCAATATCAGATATTATTTCTGAATTGTTACCTGAAATTCCATATAATGATGATTGTTTTTGAAGCATTCTCATAAAAAATACCATTATTTTATTGCACTGTTGCTACTTTAATATGATACTCTCAAGAATGAATAGGCAATTTTCAAGTAAACGAGTTCTACCACTTTGGTATTTGAAATAAAAAGAAATAGAATACCCAACAGTATACTTGAGGTGTAGTAATTTTCTTGAAAGAAACAATGTTTCCATTGGTATTAAGTCCTATCAAATACCTCTTACACCAGAGTTAGTTTTCACTTAGTTGGATGATTGCGTTTCTATTCTGCTTTATAGTATCATTAAATACTTTTTCATGTGTTTTTGTTCAGAAATTTTTTAACGAACTTGAGTTTAACATTGCCAACAAAATGTTCTAAAATGAATTCATTGGTTTCTTTTTATTTTCTAAATTGTGTGTGATAAATATTATTCATTCTCGTTATGTTTTTTGTATAATCGATCATATTTTATTCATCTGAATGCTCCTGTAGATCTATGAACGTCAGTGAAATTCATTTTTGTGAAATAGTTAGGAAATATTTTTAAATATAAAAATGAATGAAAAACAAAAATATCAAATGATGTGTTCAACAGTGTTGAAAGAAAACCTACATGAATAGCTCACTATGTTATATGTTTTCAACTGATTTTTCATCATTTTTGGTGAAATAATTACATTCAACCAATGATTTAATCGAGAGTCAAAGAAATAAAAGCAAATTAAAACCTTTTTTTAGTCCCATTGAAACTTGGGCGACTCATTCTCTATTTTTTTATTATGAGAGGAGATGAAACAATACTTTTCTAAATTATTGTCAATTCAACTCAGTCCATTATTCAAAAAATTTTATTTGTTATTTGAAAAAAGTATTAATGATGAAGAATAAGTCATTAAAACCTTGTCTTTTTAATTTAATTTTAGGTATGCCAAAACTAAAGTACGAGTTATAAAGTTAGTTTCTCAAAACTAGTGAAACAGTTTTGACATTGTTTGCAGTTGAAATATACATTTGTCTTGTAAGTTAAAGTTATGATGAGCGATACATGTAGTAATTTTTAGTTACATAAAGTTTACGAATGACAGATGATTAGTTATATTGACATCAGGATTATCTATCTCTGTGTTAATTGACTAGGATATTATTATGTAGTATTGAATCAGTGATTTTCTAGAATATTTTTTTATTCGCTAAAAAATAAATATTCAAAAAAATCATATTTATGTACTGATTTTTATCATTTTGACGGTTCTCCAGAATGTAAAAACTTCCCATTAATTGAAATCCATAATTTTGTCATCTTTTGGTTTTTTTGTTTATAAAAAATTACTATTATTATAAACAATATACAATTGTTTAATCACATCAAGTTATTTATAACAACATTTGTTGTTATTTATCGAATATAATCACAGTTATAATAATTCAATAGATTAAAACCATTTTCAATTGTTTATAATAAATTCAATTTGTTATAAACAATACATGATTTTTTAGAGTCATATGAAGTTATTAACAATCATATTTTATTGGCTTCAATTGTCAATCATGTTAATCATTTAATAAGTAGAATCTATTTCAAATGTCTTCTTTACTCAACTTATTTTACACTCTTTTTGTTATAAAAAAAAAAACGGTTGAACCGAATTTGTTCAAACTTCTTTCAGATCTTCTTTATTGCATTACCTTTAAAATGAAATTTGTCCAAAGTCGATATCTTTAGTGGTTCTCGAGATATCGAAAATGAAAAAAAACCTGATATATGTACGGACAATTGTAAGTACGTACGAAAAATTAATTTTTAAACCTTCTAATATACTTTCAAATGTCTCAAAACGTAAAGATATGATAAAATTACGAATTTCAAAAATCGACCCCATTACAATAACTTCCTAATGGGAGGTTAATAAAATTGAATTAGTATTGAATTTTTATAAATTGGTATTCGAATAAAATATTGATTAATTTGATGTCAAAACAATGTAATCATCGAGATTGTTTGAACTTTACAAATCTATATTATTTTTCAAAGCCAGCGAGTTATTAGTGTGACCTCAAAGGTCATCCGCTTATGGCTTGTTCTACTTTGGTTTAATGACTTGCTAGTTGACAATTTAATTAGAATTGAATGGAAATGAACGGCAATTAACGTTCTTGATAGCAATTAGAACTGGAAATATAAATATTTTTTTTTTCAAGTATTTACAATAAATTTCAAAAATAAAATAAAAATAATTAAAAATTTTTTTTCAAATATATATACATTATATCGCTGCTATTTTCATGGTTACAAATTTTTTAGTAATAGTTTTGAAAATATTTAGAACTAATCAGATTAAAATTTATCATTCATCTACTAACATACCTAATAGCTAATGACTTAAGCTTTGCTTTAAAGAGATAGGTATGCTAATGTAATGAAATTGGTACGATAAGCTTCATGATTATTTATTTGGATGAGAGGAATTAGTGAAATAAATAAATGATTTATCAATGCATTTTAATAGAGTGAGTTTGGCAAATGCTGATTATTTTATCGTTTTAATTATCTTAAAGTAGAACGAATAATTAACTAGTCATTCAGTTTTAAATAGTTATAAAAAATTAATGAATTACTATTAATAGTTCAACTGAAAGACGATAACTAGATATAAAAATGGAAATGCCAGCTTAATGATTAAATATTAAATACTAATCAAATAATAGATCACTTTCCACTTTAATGCAGCAAAATAAAATAAAATATTCAGTGAGTGGGCTACTTCCCCATGAAAACTAACGCTTGGAGACAGAACTTTTCACACTAACATTACGAAATATTTTTTTTTTATTAAAAGAAGTTCGTTTTTAGTGTAAATTATGAAATGAATGTTGGCATCAATATCTTGAATGGAATTAATCATTTCTTATTGATAAAATCTATTATTATGATAAATAAATGTGTAATATCATTCATCACATTAATGTATTGTTGCATATGGAGTATATTTTTGGCATAATACAAAAATCTACAACCCTCATCAATTCTCCATTAGAGAGCTTTTGCCATAGGGTTGATTTTTTAAATTCGACATTTCCTTGTATTTTCACGTTTTAGAATATGTGAGAGCTTCTAGTTTTTGAAAGATGTTTGTATGTATGTCAGAGTTCTTTGTTGACGATATTTCGAGAATGGATAAAGATATCAACTCCACCCAATTGTTATTCAAAGGATAATTCGATAAAGAAGATCTGAACGATGCTTGTTAAGCTGTTTTTTTGAATAAATGTTGGTGCATTATTGAGCTACAATTTTTTTTTAAACATTCGATATTATTTTGATTAATAATTGTAATTTGTTATAAACAATAACAAATAGTTTTCATTATTTAAATACATCAATGTATTGTACTCTTACTGTTAATAAAATGTTTTTTATGGAAAATTCATCATGTAGGCACTCCATTTTTTGTAGATTTATTTTTTTTACTAGCTTTTGGAAATAAAATTTTCTTCCTTGTGTCAACAACATATTTTTAATAATAAAAACTGTATTTTATGAAAAAATAGTTAAAACTTCTTTTAAATATTTATGTTTATCAAATAATATAATTCTAAAATATCTAAAAAATCATTAAAAATATTAATATTTGTGATAAAGTTCATTAGTTGCTCAATTATTATTATATGTTTGAATATTTGATATTGAAAAGTTTATTGTTATTACAATTACTAATGATTATTTTGATACATTTTGTTAGTAATTAGTCATGTTTTACTTTATTATTAAATGTTTGAATAGATAATTGTCAACATTTGCAATTTCGTTTGTGAAATAATGCAATTATCAATCAACTAATTATTACAAATAGGCATCGGAATGCTTTGAAATGATCTAAATTTAAATCAGTTATTTTTGTTGAAAATGGAAGATAATTCATGATAAAAAAATTTAATTTTTATTCATTTCGCTTAATTAACTAAAAATCTTTTCAATTCATTCCATTTAACCATTGAATTTACGAAGTCTCGTCGATGAATTTTTGAGAAATTAAATTACATCATTCATTCATATCATTTATGAATAAAAGCTCATGATATGCTATGAAGTATTGATCGTTCCATTGTTAGATATTTTTATTCTACTTTTGTATAAAGTCGTAGGATTTGATATTTTCAGAGCTTTTAATATCAATTATATAAATAAAATATAATTTTGAAAACATTTAATTCATTCATTTATAAAGCTGTGGAGTATCTGCAAAAACAAAATTCTATATGAGTGCTGCTAACACGTCATCTGATAGTATGCTTTTTAAAAATTCTTTTTGCTACTCAATGCAAAAAGCTTTCGTAGTTTCAGAGTATTGGTTGTTGTTTAAGTAAAATTTATACCACTTAATCTGGTCTGATAGAATCCAACATGAATATCGTTTTTTAATAAAAAAAATTAATTAAAAGAATGTGAAGTTGATTGTTAGAAATTTCATCGGATTTAAAAAAAATTAAATTGTCAAGATTTGATTAAACCTGAAAGTTTCTCAAGTAGTTGAGTGTTTTAAGAAAATTATCACATTGTAAAATGAAATCTTTTTTAGAGATTTTTTCCTACATTTCTATTTTTTAAACATGATTAGTAAACGTTAACTGTTCGCACACTGTAAATCTGAGATGATTCATTTATTTAATGTGTGTTGCGTGTATCACGTCATTAACAAACTATACTATAAGTGTGAATTTTTCACACATTTTTATGTGTGTACAAAGTTTCTACAAAATTACTATTGTTAACTTGTGGTGTTACACAGCGTCTGTATGAATTCTAAACACATGGGACAGGATTGTGATTTTGCAGTGCAATGATTTAATGTAATTTGTTGTTTAAATTGAATTTTTTTTTTGGAATTGTTCCAGATTTATTCTCAAAGAGTTTAGTTTACACACTTTTTAGAAAAAAGCAAATTACTCTTTACGATCTCTATCAATAATTGAAATCATAATTATAAAATAAGCGATTATTTTTTCCTTAAATTAAATCAGCGGATATTTATTACTTCTCAGTACTAGTCTTACAATTTAAACAAAATGACACTGATATTTCTACGAATTCAATGAACGTTTCTTCAGATGTTAGAATTGACACTGAGAATCAGTAAATATTCATTAATTTAATAAAAAAAAGAATAATAATATTAATCTTATAATTTACACTGCTTTACAATTATTTCTCATTCAAAATTTGAAACAATAAAGTTTCACTGTAAATCAGTGAATTTTTCATGATCCAATCCTGAATGTCTTTTGTTTTGTATTAAAAAAGAATAAAAAGAAGTTCCTTCCTCCAAAATTTTGTTTTTTCCCACTGCAAATCCAAGTGTGTTATTCTTGTAAACACTTTTAACACGCTAACACTACAAATCTAAGTTGTAGACACTTTTAAAACGCTAAGCCTCTTCAATGTTAAATGTCATAAATAAACTATAGATATTTTACACACCACGAAACGTGTAAAAAGTATCTACGAATCATGCATAGTTTGTTAATAGTCATTTTACACACTTTACGCGTGTTATTTTAACACGTTTGTGAAATCCTGGGATTTGCAGTGAAGCTTCTTAAATATTAAATGCCATAGAGAAACGATATATTTCAACACACTATTAAATGTGTAAAAAGTGTCTACAAATCATGTATAGTTTGTTTTCGGACATTTTACATTGGACATACTTTGTGTGTTGTTTTAACACGTTTATGAAATCTTGGGATTTGCAGTGACAAGGAATATATCTAAATTAGTTTTCTATTCTAATTTCATCTGTACAAATAAACGTTAATTAATCCCTTCAAAAAGTTGTTTATTTGTTCAAAAAATAACTAAAAGTATGTAGTTTTTGAATCAGTTATCAGGCGATGAATCCCGGAGGCTATGTATGAGGAGCGTAAATTCAACAGAGAAGGGAATCACGTCGGATTCTGGAGGAGTAGGAGTGGCAACTTATGGTTCATTAGTTTTTCAACTGAAGGATGCTCACCGCGAAGCAAGTGGTACCTGTGATTTCGTGTTCCGAGCAATGGGGGTCGTTAGTAAAACTATGCTTGTCACGATCTGCCTCGCATGTCTTTCAACTATGCCCATTATTATGCTTATTATGGGTAAGTTTAAATTATTACTTTGACCTAAATTTATATTATTTAGCAACATTTTTAAATATCATTATAATACTTTTTTCTTTCTACTTTAATAATTGTCCATTTGTTTCCGTCCATTTTATAGGCACACATAAAATGACTAAAGTAACTTGGTTGAAATATATCGATTGTAGATAATCGACTACCAGGTTATGACACGCGAGTTGTAGAACATAGTTAGATTTATGAAGTTCTTCTTTACATGCAAGCCCACTTAATTTTCTTCGTGCCACTGGCCTCTAGTAACATTTGATCAATAAATTGAGCTACACATGCTATACATACAAGTGTAGAGTTAACCTGATAATGTGAATACATTTTAATAAATACTCACAAGTCATTATAGATCAAACGCATTCTCTGTTAACTGACTGTTTTGTTTACCATCGTTATTGGTTTTAAATCATTATTTCAATATTTATTCAGTCAATAGTCGAAAATGGTTGTAAAAGCACTAGCATGAACTAATTTTTATTTCCATTTATTATTTATCACCTGTCTGATAGAGAAAATTCTTGATATTTAGATAGTTCTAAAAAATTACAAGTTAGATCAAAGATTTGATTTCCATTGATGAAAAATGAACTTGACTTTCTAGTGGAAATGCTACTAGAGGGATGAAATTTTTTATAAATTCAATAAAGTGAGGAAAATCCTTTGAAAAATTTCCCGACATTTTTTATAATTTTTTAGAGTCACCTTCCATCATGTCAAATTAAAAACGATAGCAATGATTTATTTTGTTAATATAGTTCTTATCAAAGTTTATGGAAATATTAAATGTTGAACAAAAAAAAAAAAGAAAAAACGACTCAGTTAATTATCAATAAAATAACTTGAACTGAATCTTTAATTTCATTTCTTAAGAAAAAAAGTTCTAAACTCTAAAATAACTTCTTTGAATAGTAAGTTTTTCTATTTAATCAGATAGATATAAGTACTCAGAATTTAATATCAACTAAAACATACATTAATGTAAAAAACAATCCTAGACACATCGAGCATAATAAATTTTTAATTGGCCTAGTATAATTTATTTATTACTCTCTTTGAATATTCTACCATTTCTAGATAAATTTAACTGGAGTTTCTATTAAATGATTGAGTGCACTTTGTATGGAATGAAGAACTCAAGTTATTATGATTTTCTAATAAAGAGTAATGGACCGACAAACCTATTTGTCTGTTGAATAAGTATCATTTGGAATTAACTTAGAAATAACTGAAGTGAATAACTTATTCCACCATCCAGCATAGGTGAGGGAATATTATTGTAAACATAAAAATAAATGATGTGAAAAACTCAAAGTTGGAAAACTTTTCGAAAAAGCGATTTCGATGTCTTCAAGCATTCAAAGTAAAGTTGAAGATATTGGGTACTTTGCAAAGCTTTTCAGAAGAGAGAATGAGAAACTTATTATCTTTACCTAACAATCGGATGTAGTAATAAGCTTAGAAGCACGAATTTCAAACTTTGGCATTATTCATGAAAACTTTTGAAAAATTAAGTATTTTTTTGCTGCAATAAAATAGTTACTATTTTAGTTGTAGGTTATTTTGAATTTTTCTAATATGATCATTTTATTTAAAGTTTATTTATTGAACAAAATAAATATTCTATTGTAATAATAGAGTGGTAGTTTATTCATGCAGTAGAATTAATAGATCAATAGATATTTGAGAATATTAACAACAATAAAATAAACGAAGAAGTTTATTAAAGATACAAATATTAATATTGATGGATGTGGAATAAAATTTTTGAAGTAGTTAGGTTCTCTCTAAAAATGAAACGGTAAATATACACTGTTTCCAGTGATAATGATAGTACTGTTTGAATTATTGCTGCTATTATTACTGAAAAACAGTGACTATTTACGGTCTTTCAGTAATTTTCATTGATTTATTTCTAGAGAGTTCTAGAGATGTGCTATTTTTAATGTTTGATGATTACATGAAAAGCAAACTTTGAAAAATCGAAAAAAACTAACTACAAATAGTGAATTTTTTTAAAATTTATTATGATCTTTTGTTGTACAGTTAGCGATTTATATTTGTAACAATTTGTAACAAAATTTTGAAACAATTGAATTATTTTTTAATAGATACTAATTAAAGACAAAATAGTTACAGACGTTTCTGTCGACACAAATCACATCAAAACAATTACAAAAAACAGATTTCTATTTTACTTTTTTTTCGTGTAAAGTTTAAATTTTAATCACTTGAATAAGAATAACTTTGTAGTTTTCTTTTGAAAATAAAATTTTATAGATTTTCTTTTAAAAAAAACCTTTTTGAGCTTTTTATACTGTCAATTTTCTACCATATTATAAGGAGTTATTGAAGAAGTTTGATCTTTTTTTTCACACAAAAAAAATAAGACATAATCCACACTACCGACAAGAAAAAGAAAATAATATTGTACTTCAATCATTGAATCATTCAGGAATGATTGAATAAGAATTTTTTTTTTAATCGAATTATTTCCAGCTATTTATAGATTTGATCGAAAAAAATAAATAATAGAATATCAGAGAAAATCATAAAAGCTCTTATTGTTATCAAAATGGCTCTTTTATCGTTATTATTGTGTTATTAATCAACAAAACAAAAACCAGGAAAACAGTATACAATAAACTTTCTCTCGACATTTTATCGATTAATAAAAAAAAAATTGTCAACAAAAAATGTTTTTATAAATTGATGGATTATCTAGCTTTAGAGAACTAACCAACTATAATTTTTACCCCACATATATCAAATATTAGCGGTCAATAAAGCTGAAGAAAAACTACACTTTTACTGTATTGAGTCATGAGAATTCAATAACATTTTACGTCTGACCGTATCCGGATTCATATCACTGATCCCTGAAAATGACTGGCTGATGCAATTTATGGGATCAAATTTTATCCAAAATTAACAGTACAATAGTGAATATTTTACGCACTGGCAATTTGCTATTCAGATTATTGAATAGAATATGAAAAAGGCATCAACCACATATATATCAATACATAAAAAGAATATTTTCAATTTGGCATTAGTCCAAAAGCTATTTGAATATATACTGACACGCAACATTGTTTCGTTGACAAGTTACCTAAAACAGAACATCGAATAAACCATACTACTGCTCGTCAATTATCATCGAAACTTAATTTACTGTTGACAGCTAGCGTGAACCGCTATTGATTCAACCTGATACCATTTCAACATGACAGGAGTAATTTTACTCAAGCTACGGGGTGCTAGTGAGAATATTCAAGAATGTACGACCATAGCTACTATAGAGACTGACAACATTTGAAATCCAATAATGAGATTTTAGTTGAAATGCCGATCCGGTGAACAGATAATCAGTATTATCTCATATTTTATGAGTAATTTAGTACAAATGAAGTGTCAATAATGTTGAAATTTAAGTGAAGTTTCTCATTTATTTCCATTGCAATTTTTAAAACAATGAATATGCTCCAATTATTTGTTTTTTTTTTTTATTTTAAGAAATAGAAATTCTAGGATTAGCTATTTAAGATAAAAAGTTTATCAGAAAAATGCGTGGCAATATGGACTTAATAGGATTAGTACTTTGAAATGTTAAATATTATAATAATAGTTTGAATACAAGAGAAAATTTTTTTATAGCCGAAGAATAGATAAACTTATCTATTAATTGACATTTCCATTTTAGGATGAAGAAAGGAAAAGTAGAAAATTGAGCAAAACTTGGTGAAATGATTTTTTATTGTTCAAAAACTGTGTCCAAATACTGGTTTGAACCTAGTCCAGGTTTCTCCATTTTTAATTGGAGCTTACATTGATCTCTCTAATCAAGCTTTACATTTTTTTACAAAATGATGATTATTTAATTTTGTTACACTCGTTTAGTTACTTTTATATTGATCATGCTAAATAAATACCCTTATCAATTAATATCCAAACAGAAGTTATTATCAAGTATTTTATACTAGATTCTATAAGGCCATGTTTGGACCATGGACCATTCGGTCATGTGAAAATAGTTGTACTTTAAAAAAAATGTGTAGGTGATAGTAATTAAGATTTATAAATATCAGTTCCATTTTTATTGATACTAATTTAAATATTCAGGATCCGATTAAGCATCAAACATTGGACTAACACAGACAAAAAAGCATTGGCTTATAAAATATGATAATCCAGTGGATCTAAGGTCATGTGTGAAAGCAAATTATTCAATAGTCTAACTTGATTTAAACAAATATCTTAAAGCCTATTCTGATCTCAACTGATGCTTTGATTAAGTTTTACTAGGATCATTTGCATGATCATACATGTATACAGAATTATATAATAATTTAAGTGACTTTTATGGGTATAAATCGTATGACCATCTCTTATCATTGATAATAAAATACATTAAACTTACTTGTTAATTTTTTTGAAAATTGGGTAATTTATTTAACACTTATATTATGAATATGAAACATAAGCTATAATTTTTTACCATATTTTGTAGAATGAGATAGATAGGTAATTAATGTTTTTTTTTGCTAAATAATTTTAAAGAGAAATGATGATAATTAAACTCAGTTACAACTTGTTGCGTAACCCACTTTCCTTTCATTTTTTACTTTTGATATCAAATCTCTCATTTAATTAACAGTTTCTGTTTTTTTTTAAATTTTATTTGTACGATTTATGTTTATTGAATGTTTGAATAACAGCTAGCATAATAATGTCTATGTTTATTCAAAATGTGACTGCTATTTATTGAAAAAGGAAGTGACGTGTAAAAAATATTCTGGTTCACTCTCATGGAATGTAAAATAACATTGTAATTAATTTTGTCAAATGACAATCAACAGCAAAAATATTTTCATGAAAAATATTTTTCAAAATAATTGTAATGTAGAATGAAGATAGACTTGTGTTGAATAGTTAACTACATTCATGATAAAGCTAGAAATAATTTCTCGGCTGTTTTGATGCATCATGAATGATAATTTTCTGATGTATATTCACTTTGATGATCAATGAGAAAATAACATTAAAACGTTTATGTTTTTTTACCATGATTACCCATTTGCTGATAAAAGAAAGAAAATTTTCCATGTTATTTGATATGAAATGTTTTAAATAAATCATTTCCCATTAAATTAATGAAATGTGTTATTTTTGTTTGTGTAAATTTCAATTTATCTCTATGTTGTTATTGATAAAACCAACTTTATTTTTGTTTTAACCAAAAACATTTTTTTCTTTTAAAAACAATTTTGAAATCTGATCAGATCCAATCAAATCACTGTAAATTTTAGTGTTTTATTTTAAAACTAAAAAGTTTTTATGACGTCACCCTTTGATTACTGTCTCGATTTTAAAACGTTCTTAAGTGTTTTAAAATAAAACACTAAAGTTTACAGTGATGAGATGAGAATTATAGAACTTTTAAATGTAATTATATCTGAATTTTGTGTAAATATCTGAATATCTAAATGAAGGAAGATATAAAGTAAATTTTGTTTAGATTTCCAAAAAAATTCCATACCATTCTGATCTAATTCAATCCAATTAAATCTCATGTGATTTAATAATTTTTCTCCAAATCATTTGTTTATTAAAGGAATTTCAATTTCACAATACATTATCTATTCTTTATAAACTTGAAATATCTTTTTATTTCATTGCTGTCCATTGTTTCATATAATTATATAAAAATGCAAAAAAAAAGTATTTTCCAGACGTTTTACTAAAAACAAAATTTCAAACAAAAAGAAAAACTGCATGAGTTTTACGTCACTATCGGGAACCAAGTTGTTGAAAATATTAATTCTAAGTGACAGTGGTACTTCAATAATTAATAATTGATTTATTGTGATTATGTCAATGAAGTAATGAGAATGTATTTTCTTTCCAGGATTACAATTTATCAAGGACTGCCCGAAAGAACCTAACATTCCCGTTTACATGATAGTTGGTGGTGCTCTTGGTGGAGTTAGAATGTTCTGGGCTTTGTACTCACAAATCCGATCAAGGCGTTTGGAAGTTTTAAGTGTACCCAATTCCAGCCCACATATATCACCGATGCAATTGGTGTCCATTGCTTTGACGTGCTTCCTGACTTTCTGGTTTGGGTTAGGTAGGACTTAGTGAATCATTCAAATTGCTACTTACTTGTAAAACCCAAACTAATTTGAAATAGTTACCAACTGTGATTATATTTTACAGAATATAGTAATAATTACTACTTTGAAATTGTAATACAATTGGCATCAATAAGAGACCAGTTTAGTACAGTTGACTGTAATTATTAAAAAGTTTTTAAATTTTCTTGTCAAAAATAATTAACAACTAGGTCTTATTTAACAGTTTAATAACTTTCGTCCATGAATCATTGATGATTATCTGATTATTTTTACTTCTATATGACTTAATAAAAGACAAAACTTGTTAAGTTTTTTCCACTAAACTTTTAGATGAATGAATAAAGTTTCAAGTGTTATTGCTTTGCTAAAAAATGAGTTGGTCATATTTTCTGAAATTATTTCTACATAAAACAGTATAAATCATTCTAAAGTGACAATTTCAAAGTCTTTTGGGTTTATATATGTTGTTCATCACGCATATATTTCATAATTACTGAACAAAACTCGATAATTTCACTTTCCAATTAAATTAAATTTTTATTTTCTCTTAATAAATTCTTTCTCTCCCATAATGGACCTACAATTTAATTAAAATAAACTCTTTCATAATAATTTTCTCAAGATATTTTATCAATTTAAAATCAAGTAGTTACTTACTTTGATTACTTTATTAAAAAAGAAAGTTATTCATACCAGAATTGTCTAGTTTTGTTCCAATATTCCACATTTATAATTACTTGAGAGTCTATAGCTAGCAACTTTTTTTTCATATTTAATTTAATCAATTGATTAAACACACTTTATGTTTGTCAATTTATTTATCTTCATTATTTACGTAGTTGCTTTTCTATTCAGTGATGAGTTTGTTTATTCACTCTTCTCTTTCTCTCACTCTCTATCATCCTCTCCCACTCCGACTCAGGTAATTATTGGATTCTGAAGATCAGATGGCCGGACTTTGAAGCTAAAATGTTTGATCCAAATCACTGGTGCGCCAAGACTCTCTACATCTTTGCGGTGGTTCATCTAGGCATCATTTATGCTGTCATAGGAGTCAGCATTGTCACAGCATTAGGTCTTGCAATATGTCGAGCTCTCGCGTGTTCTTGGTTTGAAAGGTAAGTTGAAATAACTTTTATGTTTGATTGAAAATACTCATTATGTTGACCATAAAAAAAGTACTTTTGTGATAAAAATTTACTGGAATTTAATGAAAGCTTGTCAACCTTTATATTGACTGGAATTTAAAAATCACTATGATCACGAAAAAAATTCATAACTACTTTAGAAGTCGACGTACCTATACTCCTATCAAGTATTACAGAGATAAATTTAGTTGGGTTATTATATATCGTGCGGATGACCTGCTCTATACCTGAGCTATGTATTTCAAAAAGAGGGATCGATACAATCGCGTGATATAGAAAGAGAAAGAGTAAGGGAGAGAAACAAAGAAGGGAATAACATTGATGTTGGTGAACTTATGCGTTACCTAGATAACACACTTACTGCCCAATGAATCTACACGCGTCTCTCGTTATTTTGTACATCAAGTTTATATATATTACACGTCAGCAAGTAAAGATTTATTCACATTTTAAATTGAAAATGTCACTAGACCATTAGGTGTCGAGATTTCTAAACGTAGAGGAAATCAGGGAAAAAGAGAGACATTGAAGAAATATTTTTAATTCATTTTTTTTTATTTGCATAAGTAATTATGCAGTAAAATTTTATTTGAACGATAAAATAATTATCATGGCTGTATTATTGTATTCATGAATAAAATAATATAAAGAATCAAAATACACTTTAGATGTCAATCAATAGTAATAGCTACAGAGGTTGATTAATATCCTAAAAAAATCAAAATAAGTTGCTCCAACTATTGAATTTTGAACTTTTAAAATAGTGCCATTAAAAATTTATCTGACTGTAGATACGTTAAAAATAGGCTAAGAGATCATTTATTGAACATACATTTTTAAAAATAATAAGCTGAAATTTCCAAACATTATTCAAAACTAATTCTCTTCATAAATTGGGGAATTTATTTGGAGGAAGGGAGGGAGGTACCATTGTATTTTTAAAAAAATTTTATTTATTTATAAAAAATAGAACGATGGAAATTCTTTATGAATGATCTAAAATTTTTAATTGTCGTCAACTCATAAAATGTTTGAAAAAAACAATTTCACTTTGCTTTTTTCTATACCTCAGTTTCAAATTATTATACATTGTTTAAAAGGGTCAATCTAAACCAAGAGTATTGTTTCAGTTTTCCTTACTTTCTCTATTAAACGAAATCAGTGAGAACCACTGTGATAGAAGATTTGTTTATGAATGACTTTAGGTCAGTTCTTTTATTAACACTTATGATTATCAATCGAATGAAGAAAATTTCAGTGCTATTTATCATTATCATCAGACCCTAAATTTCTTATGTTGTCGATAATTATTTTCTGTTGCTAATAGCTCAGATTAAATCATTGCCCTAGTCATTTTGACACCCTAGAATGTTTCTTTGAATTCTGATACCAAATACAATGACTTTTGATACCTTTGATGATCACTGGAACTTGAAAAAAAAGCTCATATTGATTCGAGCAAAAGAAGTAAAAGTTGCTAATAAAAATAAAATGTTCATTGATATTTCTAACAAACTGAGCAATGGAAATCAGTTTATTATTATAATTTACCCTAAAAGACTTTCACTACTCTTTTCTTTATCAGTAAATTTGAAGGTAAAACTTAATTAAAGATTAGAAACAATGAATTAAGATTAACCGGACGAATTAATCAAGATTAAATATAAACAAGTCAAAATAATTTTCTCGCTGGCTTAAGTTAATAAATAATTCCGTAAAATTTATAAAATAAATCAGAAATGATAATGAATAAAAAAATGACTTCTCAATTGATGATATAGATCAAGGGCTATTAATCACAGTGATTTAATTAAATAGAATAATTTTCCAATTAATCTAACATATAAATGAGCTTTAAACATGCACTTTGTTGATGTTGATGTAGATATAAATAACCACGGAGGTCTTTTCGCTTAAAAGAATCTATTGGTGAGTCATTAGAACGTACACCTTCAAGACGTCAAATGCGAGTATCATTAGATGGTAAAATTCTCCAGGAAGTTAATGAAGATGATGAAGAGGAAACGCAGAATGAGGATAGTATCAAAGGAAATGAAGTAGACGGTAGTGAAAAGATTAAGGAAGTAGTTCAAGAGATCAAATTCTCTAGTCGAGTGCAATTTCGTGCACCTGACATTATCGAGCTGTAATAAATAAATAAATTTTTAACATTTAAAAAGAAGCTATTTGTGAATAGAATCCTATTATTTTCAGTATATTCGACATTAAATAAGTGAAGGATATTATTAAGTGTAATTTTATTGTAATAAGTGATGATTGAAAAAAACAAATAATAACAAATAATTAATTATTGATAAATGAAATAAATAATATTAAGTAAGATAAATAACATTTTTAGTAAGATTTCAATATCTAAACATATTTGTAAATGCTTATTAATTTGATGCATACTTTTTGGTTCTATTGACTGATGTTTATTATAACTTAGGTGAAATAAATGAATGTAAAAAAAAATAATGATAATTGTCTGCATAGAAGATATAGATTAATTATATTTATAAATTCGAAGGTGCTCTAGACTGCTATGTAAATTGTTGTATGTTGGGTTTAGATGTTTGGTGAGCTATTGAAAATAATTGACGTCCTACTTGCTATTAGCATCATTATGTCAGAATGAAAATTATATTCTAGATAACCATCATAGTTTGCCATTTTCATCTATAAAGGATAATAAAAGTTATAGTTTAATGTTATAACTTTTTATTACTGATATAATATTATCTTTTCTATACAACTTTCTACAGATATTGATAACAACAGCAATATTCTTATCATATTCTTAATATCGTATTTTTTTTGTTCTACTTGGTAGTTGGATTTCCTTTTACTCAACTTCTAAGAGTTCTTAATCTTGACTGTTTTTTTTTATTCTTGTCGTGAATTAAATTTAAGTAAGTGGAGAAAAAATGTTAATCAAATTTCTGACTGATACAAAATAATTTTTTTAAAGCTGAATTAAAAAAAACAACTAATGGTAATTATTTAGAATTGGGGCTCTAGGCAAAAATTGGTCCAAAAAATTTTTCACCACCTGGAAACTATTTTCTTAGGTAGAATTAGATTATTGAAGGTGGGGGAGACATGTTTCATGAGGTTTCATCGAAAAAAATAGGATTTTTAGGTATAGGTATAGCTTGAATTCGAATAATAAAGTGACGAAGAGGATGGAAGGTGTGAGGGGGGGGGGGTGTTTAAAAGGCATAAATACTTTTGTAATTTTTGAAAATATTTATGTCTTTTTAACACCCCTCCCCCCACCCCCTTGCCTCTTTTTATGTCTCCTCCACCTTAAATTCACTATTTGTACTCTCAGAAATAACTCCAAATGCATAAAAATTTTTTTAGAACGATTTTTACCTGGAGCCCCAATTCTAAATAATTACCCAACTAATTAACTCACAAGTTTACAAATGAGAAATATTGAAAGTCTAGTTAGTTTATCATTCTTCAACTTACTGAATAGTTATAATTTGTGTTTGATCATTTCACTAACATCATTTTGATGTGAAATAATGCAAAGGTTTTTGATGAAAGAATTCTTTTAAATTATCAATAAAAATTTCGTGCATATTAAATCAAGTTCTTGATGTTGAACTGTTGAATTAATGAAATTGAATTAAAATATTTTTTATTTGTACTTACAATTATCTAAATATCTACTTTGTGTACAGCTAAGGCTTAATAAACAATAATTCTTGAAATCCTACTGACAAACTTTGTTTCCACTAGCAGACTTAAAGATCAGACATTCCAGGTAACTTTGAACTTCCCACCAAGATTTGGAATAAGTTGCTTTCTTCAATCACAATGATATTTTATTGACCTATGATTATTACAATTGATCATAAATAGCTAACTTTTCTTCCAATAAAAATCATTAATCTATTATCAGATCTAATTCATGAGACTTCAATCTCAAGGCTTGTGTACTCTTAGTTCTGTTAAAGATGTTTTAATATTTGTAGAATGCTTCGTTCAAGTTTAAGTAGTATTCCTCAAGATAAAGTCTGACGTAGTAAGGTTAGGTTTTCAACTTTACCATGTCTGATTACGTGTCAGACAATATCTTTGGGAACTTTACGTCTTAGCAGATTGATGCTTTCAATTGTAACAGTGATAATTGGATAAAGTTTTTCATGAATAATTATAATTTTTATTGACTTCAGTAAAATTGTTTCCAATTTTTAGAGAACTAATTTCCAAGTTATTTTTAAAATTCATTTTCAATACAAAACATTTTATATCACTTGAGGAATATTTGCTAAAAAATATGTCGAAAAGTGTCTAATTACCATGTTTAAAAAGCCTTAGTCTTATCAAGTACATAACTTATTTTATTATTCTGTTTACAATTTTTTATTAATAATAAAATAAGATAGTACATAATCTCGAATATTAAAGTGTATTTAAATAGACTGGAATTTGTAAACTTGTGTTGCTTTTTTTAAGAAAATAATAATCTTGCTTGCAGCAACTTGAAAAAAAAACGAAAAAAGACCTCTAAGGAATTTCCAACGAATATTTTAAGCATAGCTTGAGAACTTTTTTAATTTCCCCGAAAAATTTAATATTGATAAGTGAATCTAGAAATGAAAACCCTAATATTAGCGTCCAATCACACTACTAAAATAAACGAGTCAATTAAATGTAAAAATTCATCACGTAAATGCCATTATAATATGCAAAAGATTGCATAAAATTGTACATCGTGAATATAACAACTTTATACATAAATGAAAACTATAATACATCAGTAATCGAAGTAGCTTTATTCAGAATTAAAATTGAGGGAGAAATTGTACCTAATGCAAGTAAATACATGTACGTAAATTAAAATCTCATTCATCTTTTAGGGACCTGACCAAGCTGTCTTAATCTTCATCAATATTAAAATACAAACTATACATAGTTATTTTGCATTCTTTTATTTTTTTTAATCATTATTTGCAGTTTACTTTAATATTTTTCAGACAATACAGAAATGAAATGAGATGAATTTTTCTTTCTAAAAGTTTTCTACTTTTGATTGATTTCTCCAATTTATTGATGGTGAATTGTTCGTGTAAGAAATACTGAAGTCATCAAAGAGTAGTGTATGATATTCAACATCCTTTTCTTTTTTACTTTCAAAGTAAACTTGGTATGAAATTCCTAAATTAATTGGAGAAATTAATGATAAGTACAGCTTTAGAAAAATTAATAAATGAAGCCGTAATTTAGATTGGGTTTAAAATTGTTCTATGATTTGGACCTTATTGTCATTTCCTAATAGAAACAATAATTGGTTCATTCTTAAGCTGACATAGGTCTGATGTTAACAACATCTAACAATATTGAAGAAATGAATTTTATGATTCCATCAATGAGTCATGAACCAGCCCTAAGAGCTGTATTCAAACTAGTATTATATAATGTACCTATCATTGGCTACCTCAACTAGTATAGGCCTAGTTATGAGGAATGACTGGGTCATGACTGGATGATAACACCAATTTAGCACTTCTGCTTACCAAGCGTTTTATTAAAACAAACGACAGATAAAATAATTTTGGCTGCTTTTGAAGAGTCATAATTTTAAAATAATGATAAAAATACTTGAAAATCAGGATACTTATAATAAATTTTTTATGTCGACGATTATCTGGTGCATAGTCAACACTGATCACTGTTTATTAGGAACAGATATAGCTGATTCAAAGATAGGAACCCTATCATCTTGCTGTCAGTCTTTATTATTTTATAATCATATCATTGATCTTTCAATCTAACCAACATATTTTCATTTCATTTATGATAATTAATTCTTTTATTTTTGTCTTCATTTTGTTGAAGTATTAGAAATTTTTTTTATCATTTCATTTATAACATATCATATTACTCGTTGCTTTTTTGTATGTAGTTGATAATTTAGCTAAAAAGGTTTGTTAAAATTATGCACACTACTAATGTTGCATGTTCTATAGTTTCTTTTTCTATCTACATATCTGTGAAGATGCTTATTTTCTAATCTTTGGACACTTTATCTCTTTAATGTTCTGATTTCTTCAAATATTGATCTTACCATTTCCTTAAGACGTCATGAAAGCATTCAATTATATATCAAAGTAGTCAAAGTCAACCTATCTTTCATCTTCACAGTCATTTCTAGATATTTTTAAAATAAGGCCCAAATCGTAGACACATTTTTAAACCCTATCAGACCTGGTATCTTACAACATAATTACTCGTTCTTTCTTTTAATTATGTTAGATACTTTTTCATTAATTATTTCATTATTTTCTTATCATTAAAGTTGTTTAAAATTTATTCTCTAATGATGAAAAGGCGGTTTTGTTGAATTAATTAATTAATCAACCTACATTTTTAGATACTACAAAAATAAAACAACTATCAACGAATAAAGCTTTGGAGTACAGGAATTCACTTTTCCTAATACATGAATTTTTGAAAAAATTTTTCCTTGATTAATTATATGAATGTTTTAATTATTAGCATTTTGATAATATATTTTTTAGAATATTTATTTACTTTAATTACGGCTAAAGGAGTAAAGAATTATACTTATAAATAAAATAGGCTATCGGTATATACATCGATAAGAAATATAAATAATCTTTAAGAAAATGAGGTATATAATCATTACTTCGCGTGCATACTTTTGCCATGAGTTTTCTATTTCACATGAAGTTTCATTGACCCTTAGATTTTTTTTATCCAAACATTTTTAACGCTTAAATTTCTTTATTATAAACTTACAAGTATATTTATTCAATTATTAATATTTTTTTAGAACTTTTAAAATTACATGGCTGAAATTAAATCCAAATTTTAAATCGATTCTAAATGCAAACGAAGTATATGATTGAAAAGTAAAATTTAATTTTATAAATATAGGGGCATTTAAAAGTGACGGGGAATTTCTAAAAAACATTAACGATAAAATGTGAAAATTAAAAGATAAATCTATACACACAGTGGTGCTGGTATAATTATTATAAAAGAAAAAGAAAAACGATAATATAAATATATGAAATTTCGTTGATTTATTTGGATAGTTTAAATGTAGTGTAAGATTCTTCGACAAAAAAAAAAATGAATAAATAAATAATTAAAATGAAAATTCATAGAGACAAATTAATTTATTGACTTGTTAATATTATCGTTGACTTCCGCGAATATGAAGAGTTTAATTATTTTTTTACAAAAATAAAATTCGACGAAAAAAGTGAAAATTATTAGTAAC